GTTGGCACTCACAAGCTCACTGCATGAAAACATCCAGTGGCACCAACCAGAAAGGACCTAGTTTACTGTATTCTCTTCTCATTTCTCATCATGCTGTCAAAGAACAGACTGTATATAAAAGACCTGTGATTATGAGATACATCATGCGCTCAAACTATATGCTTAATATAATGATGTGAAAGGCCCTTCTTTTCTGCAATAGTGACTAGGAGAGTAACACAAAAAGGCACCAAGGGAGGGCTGAGTAGCCTGACAGCATAATAACAGTGAAGGCTTTAATATAAGTTATTATAGCTCTATTTATCTAAGCCATTAACACATACATTGGCTGATAAGTGCTCTCCAAAGTTCATCGACATCCGTTCAGAAATACAGTAGAACAGCAACCAATATAACACAACAGACTGAAAAGTACTTTGTAGATGATTGCTCAGCTAAAACTTCCTCCTATACAAGTACCCCTTCCATCCGGGTATTGTACTCAAAGCAACCTGATGTTTTTCCACAAGGAAATGAATCAGAACGGGTTTTCTACATTGTAGCCCCTTAAGATCTGCTTTAAGGAATTTATGATTTTGAATGTACCTTGTATCAGCAACCAAAGATTTGTAACAACACACACAGGACTCTGGCAGAGCTCACTGCAGCCTCCAAGTGACAGGCATACAGTATAAATCACATCTTCTGGGTAGAAGGAGCGAGGCAGCTAACTAAATCTAAGAGCAATTAAAGAGGACGTACAGCACAACAGAGTTGTGTTAAGTTGTAGTTATAACTTCTGAAAAACCAATGGCAAGTCAGATCTGATGGTGAAAAGTACACCCGCTTCAAAATCTGAGTATTCAACAATAAAGAATATTGCAACGCTTATTTTATTATAACACGTACTTAAAAACTTTTTTGAAGAAGCAGATGTTTGAAGCGTTTAATCTTGGCACAGACACTCAACATTTACCCAGTGCAACAAAAACTTTGTGGTAGATGCAGAGGGGGCTTTGCCACGCTAGCTCACACAATGAAAGACAACAAACAAGATCTGCTGCTTTGCCTGTGGCTGGTGTTTGAGCGGAACATAAAAAAGAAAACCCGGGGAGCAAGAGGCAGTGTTACTATTTTTTCCCCCACATAGTGAGGCTCTTAGATGATTTACACTGTTAAGCAAACAGAACTTTATTCAGTATATAATAAATAAATTCAGGCAAACAAAATATATACAATAAAACAAAAACCTATGCATCTATGGAACAGTAATGGTGACAAAATTATAATATTTTTTTATTTCAAAAAAATATTTTGCAAGTACTCCGCCTGTTAAACGTTATATCACAGTGATATGCCCTATTTTAAAGCTGTACTAGTTAATATTTCTCATAGTAACAGTAGATAAGATTATTTTATGACATTAACCGTCACCACCCAGTTTTGCAGTGCTTTCAGCTTATTTTGGATCATTGTTTTGCTTTTCCTTAGCCTCCAAACCACTCTCATCAACTTTGTTTCCAGCTGCAGCTGGAACTGTTTTCAGTAAAAAAGCTCCTTGCTCCGTGTTCTCTGTAAACAGGCAAGTGTTTACTAAGATGTTTGCAACCTGGATGCAGCTTTGGAGGGCGATAGTAGGTCAGTTTGTGTTTTCAACCTAGAACATGCAAGTGTCATCTTGAAATAAATAAAAGAAAGAGCCCTTTGGCAAAGTCTCATATGGGAGGCACATTTTGACACATTTATTTCACTGCTTATTTTGTCACATTTGGTCTTCAGTATGTGTCTGCCCTCCAGTTCTATATTATATAGTCATTCTTGTTTACTGACTAATGAAATTAGAAGTGCAAGTACAAAGTGCTGTATTGTATTCCTAGCAATAAAGCATCTGACTACTTATGATTAGTAAATTATTAGTTTGCTGGTATTTCATCTGTGGCTTCATCCACAGTTGGTTCCTAGAGTCTCATTATTACATAGCCTACAGCATACTCGGTACACCCTGGACCACTCTGCCTCCTGCCAACTGGGCACTCAACTGTTCCAGACAGCTGCTTCACATTTAAGTGATGAGAATTAACAAGACACTCCACTACTGTATGTCCTATAAAGATGTCAGTAACACCTCACCGCTACCTATTCTCAACATATTTTGTGACAAGATGAAGTTCCCACCCCCCCCTCCCTCTTTTAACATTACTTGGCTGCCTGTGCAGCACATCCTGGACAAAGTTCATTGTAAATGTTGTAAAAAAAGATGAGTTTCTGGCTATATTTAATGACCCGGGAGAGCTTTTTGAACTATCCTCCATGTATGAAATGTGGTAGGTGCTTTCTGAAAGTACAAATCAGTTATGACTCGTGAGTGCTGTAGGTTTGCCTCACATGGGCAGTGCAGAAAAAGCAAAGAAAGGAAAGACTGAAAATAAATCACTGCTTGAGGGCTACATATATCAAACTCCGTAGTTCACTCAAAATGTGTTTTGTCCACTATATCTCAGTTATAAGTGTGCATTTGGACTTTGACAGTAAGGTATAGTTTGAGAAATGTAATACATTATTCTCTACTCAGACAAACGGCAGTTGGTGAACTGTACCATAATGGAATTTCTTATGTGAAGAACTCAGGGACAAAGCAAGGACATTAAGGCTCCCTTGCTTTGGATTTCCTAGAAAATGAGGTCAGCCTTTTTTTGACAGCTGACTGTCAAAGTTGTGATGATGTACAGTAGTTTCTGAATTTGCAGGTGGAGACATCCACCTTTTGATATAATTCTCTGCTTTTCTTCGACTGTTAACAACAGCTTTCACAAAGCTAATGTTGTACACTGTCAATAGATTATCAAACATCCTTTGTGTTGCAGGTGAATCTTATACTTTGAAATACTTTATTCTCCGTTATTGAAATGTCAGTGCCACCTCATGACCAGCAGTGGTTGCTGATAAGAAGTTGTGGAAAAGTTTCAGTGGTCACTCTTTCACTTTATGTGAAGGAACGTTATGTTTGGCTAAGGTTGGCTCAGTGGTACAGCGCTTAGCACCGTCAACTCACAGCAAGAAGGTTCTGGATTTGAACCTCATGATCTCCCTGTGCGGGTTTTCTCCAGGTGCTCCGGCTTCCTCCCACAGCCCAAAGTCAAGCAGGTTAGGTTGCCTGTAAGTGTTTTTATGTGTCAGCCCTGTGATAGACCTGTCCAGGGTGTACCCCACCTCCAACCCAACAATGACTTTATTGGCTCTAGCACCCTTTGACCTTCTACAGGATAAGCAGTATAGATTAAGAATGGATGGATGTTTGATTGAAGTGTAGAAGTTGTCCACCGAATATGCTGATTTGCTGTCTTATACAAGAGGATGTGAAGCAAAATATTAATGAATACTTCATATGTTAATTGAAACACACAATAAATTAATCACATACCCTCTTTGGAAATCACACAAGCCAGTAAAGCCAATTTAGCACGTAAAACTGAACAAGACAATTTAAATTTTAAAACTGGAGATGGAAGGGCTAATCTACATTAAGCTTGATGTGCTTTTAATTGATTAAAATACAGCCTTTGTAGAGTAAATTTGGAATTAAAGCACAGATCTTTTGAATTTGAGATCAATTATCCTTACATTTTTCCTCATTGAGCTTTCTTATGTCTTGTAAACCCAGTCTCTAGGCATGTATTTAATAAAACTGCTCAGAGTTTGTATTTCGATGTTGTGATCGATTGGCACATTTCCTTGCAGGATGTCATCCATTATCATAATAGCCAAACAAATCACTATTACAGAAAAATGACCATGCATTTAACTGCTTCAGAAACAATAGCTTTCAATATGCTGCATTACTCAAGTTAGATTAGGCCCATAAACTGAGGTTGGAGATGTGTGTAGAGCCAAATATACCTGAAAAAATAATAGCAAAAAAGCTATCAAGGTTCTTCGCTGAGGCTTTTTGGTTCAGGCTCATCATTCACTCAGAACAGTCAAAACAAGGCACCATATGCTCACCACATCATTAGCATACAATTAAGACAATAACTGCAGTTTTAATGCAGCAGATAGTCTCCATAACCACTAAAACAGATACACAAACAAGTCCATTCTTCTTGGTTTAATGCTTTACTTTTAAAGATTGGGATAACACTGTGAAGTAAAATATATTTATGGCCATTTTTATGTGTCACTTCATTCACTTCCTATTAAAGAAAACTAGATGCATTGATTTAACTGTGGCTTTGAAATGACGGCTCGTTATGAAAACTTACAAGAAACATCTGAGGTATCCGTTACTCAAAACAGCTGAGACATTGTGATAGTCCAGTGGCTGATCGCTTTCATCTTGTTCATAATTCCCGAGGTTATTATGAGTTGAATATTAGAGGCTGCCACTCTTCTCCCCCCGTCTGCACAGTGCAGTAACACTAAATGTAGTCAGTTTAATTATAACTTTCATGCATGGAAAGGTATATTTTCTGAGGTAATTTGAAGGGCTCAGAGAAAAAGGAAAAAATCTGCAATGTGACTGACATGAGAAGGATGGAAAATATCTTACCCTCTCAGCCCAGAACACTTCTGTCACAAAACCAGTGTTTGTATTCATGGTATTATCACAGCTATTAACAGTAGAGGGAGCTTCGGTTATGCAAATTAGAACTGTGTTTGTGACAAGATGAACTTTTCACTCCCCCTCTTTTATTGCTGCTTGTCATGGAACACTGGTTATTGACTCATTTCCAACATGGTGAAATGTCCCCTGTAACCTCTGAAAACCAGTTTCCCAGCGCTCTGTCACAGCTACACCTGCAAACAAAAATGTGCCCCAACTCCTGCTCTCTCATACTGTGGCAATGAACAGTTAATCTCCTCAAATAGATATTAACAAAAGATGGAAAGGCAACTCTCACAGAACCCAGAATAAATATACTGTATGAAGGATCTAGGCTCCTTTAAACCAGAGACTAGGCAATAGTCTAAAGCTTGTTGCGGTGGAAAAACTGAAGCAAATCTTTCAGTTCACAGGCACTCACCCCATTTAATTTCAGTGGAGCAGCTCCAGACACTGCATCTTGATAACATCAGAGCGTAATCTTGTCTCTGTGTTCTGTGAGATAAGATTTTAAGATAAGATATCATGAAAATATATTGATCTTCCGTGGGGGAGGGGGGAAGTAGAAGAATTTGGCAAGGGAAAGTGTTATATGGGATTCAGAAGTAAATAATAGCACGGTTTTTATATAGGAAATAAAATTTGTACTGTAAGATAAAATAAAAAATAAAACAACAAATAAAAACACTGACACAATAATGGCAGCATGTCTGAAAAACAACAACAGGGATTACTTACATTAACTGCTGTTACTTGAAGACTTTACTGTTATTGAACTACTACTGAAATAAAATATCTATTTTAAGCACATGATTTATGGAATACTGACACAAACTAACAGCTTTTGCATGAAAAATCCACAATGAAGCTTTGTAATGTTATGTACAAAACAAGCCAAGTGTCATCTGCAGCACGTCTAATTCAGCGGCACTGTGCCAACATGTCATCTCAGAAAAATATGTCATTTCCATGGTTACGGCTTCACCATCTACTAAATGTTATTTAGGCTAAGTCAAAAAAGCTTATAACAGCATAGGGCAGAAGGCTACTGCTCTAAAACAAACTTTTTATGCTGTGGGTATGTGTGTTTACGAGCTCCCACATGCTTATTGCAGTTTTCCTACCTCACTGAAATATGACTGAACTATCCCCAAGAGTTCCCAGAAGGGACTTGTAGTGTCTTAATTATATTTTCTATAAAATTAAATACATTTTCATAAGCACGTGGTTATGAAATAATGCCCCGTTGCATATTAGCTGTCAAACTATATGTGTCTGAAATCTTTACCAGAGTTTTCCTATGGGATACACCTGCGTCACCATCAGTGAGATGCATTTCGACTAAATGCTCAGTTTGGGCATTTACTTACGGGGCTTAAATAGTGGGTGGTTCTCCAGCTGATACCTTTAATTGCTCCTGGATTGTGTCAATATCTACCGGTTTTACTGCTCCATCACGAGCCACTGGGAGCAGGTTGCCCGGGAAACGGCCGCATGGCAACAGGATCAGAGCCTGGGGGTTGTCTGCTTCTAGGTCTTCTCCCATTTTACATCGCATTTCCTCACTAGATGGTGTGCAAGCCACTGGAGAGTACACTTCCTGCACAGTAGTGGGCTCTACATCCAGCAAAACAAACCTGGGAAACTGTACAGCGGACCATTTCTTGACGGGGCTCCGAGGAGATAAAGCGTGGAAATAAAACGTCGTCCGCATCAAGGCTTTCTTTTTTTTTAACTAACCCCTCATTTTTAGGAACAAGAAGACTTGGGAAAAGCGACAACAAAACACAGCTGTGATGGACATAATGATTGCGGTGCAGGATGCTTGTGTCTCCGGTCAGTGGCTTACTGCGATAATTCTCAGTCTGTGCTGCTTTTTGCCGTCCTGTTTGCCCGCTGGACAAACTGTGGACTATTCCTCGGTTGAAAGTGTGGTCAGCAGACAAGGCGATACAGCTTTACTGAGGTAACACAAGCTAACACAACTTCACTTTCTCTCGCTCACACTCCCACTCTCTTTCGGAGTTCTTCGAAGCTAAACTCTCGACCTCACACGTTCTATAACCCCAGTTCATTGGTTTATTGATGTCTGTTAAATACTTTTGGAAGAAGGGGTTGTCATTCGGCGCCTGCGAAAAACACACAATAGGTCGTTTTCCCTCCATCTCGTCCTTGTTTTCGCCTGACAGGGGGGCGGGCGGTGCAGCGGCCGCTACGCAGGACGTTGCTCTTGCGACAAGTGTAGCTCGGCTGGTAACGGTTAAGTTTACCAAGATACTTTCCCTGCGCGTGCATCCTGTAGTAGATGCGGTCTGTTATGTTTGACTTTATAACTGCTTGTAAATGGGACGTAGGGATGACAAATTACAGCAGCCTACCGCAGCCGGTCGTTTATGCAATTTGATTACATTATGCAAATGCAGGGTGCTAAACGAAAAGATTAGTATACAGAACAGGGCCAAACGTGCTATTTTGAGTGGTGCTCGTCAGTTTTTGCTGAATGCACAAAGTGATGTCGCAGTTTCAAAACGAGGCTGAAGAGCGTATGTGTGGTCGCTACCGATCATCTGCCTCCATCCTCCCTCCATCACGTAGGCTACGATGCCAGCTACACAGGTAGCTGCCCATTAAGGACTAAAATAACTGGCATGGGCGTAGTTTTGACCAGTGCACTAAGCCAGCTTGTAACATATCGGCATATAATCAAAATAGTCCCAAAAATGTTCTATGTTAATAATAACATTTATTGCTTACACTGTAATGTATGGCAGGTTTGTTTTTGGTTATAATAATATTAAAAATAATAAAATCTATTTCAGTTTTTCATGACATTCTCTTGAAATTCTTAAAAACACAGGAAAAAAAGATCTTTGCAGCCTGAGATAACATCTTGTTCTACCTATATCAAATATCCGCTTTGATGGCTATGAGGAAAGACTAAGGGGGCATGCCTGCCCCATTTCAATATGAATTCAGTGGATGTTGACTGAGAGATGCTGGGTGTGGACCTGAATACAGAGCAGCTCACTATCTAAAAGTTCCTCTCAGCTTGGCTTATAGTCATTGTTTGTTACTTGACTGCTGTAGAGATGAATTCTCTCTGTGACATAAGGTCATTGTCACTGACTGTATATGGAGATGAGTGTCTTATCATGAGGAGTATCAAATGTGTGCTCATGACAGAATTACCTTGGTAACAGTTAAGGGGTACTTACTATTTTTACAGTGTTCCTTCCAGAGCCATCCTGTCAAAGAGACTTAACACCTCTGACTGCCTCTTTAGAGAGGGTGTCTAATTCTCTGATGTCAATCTGGGTTGGCTGTGATCAGTGGCAGAAGCTTTTCCTGAATCCTGATAGTTTATTGGACCAGAGATTATCTCTGTGCTATATGAATCAGCTCAACCGACAAGTTCCCTCCCACCCCCTGAATAAGGCAATGTGCTCCACGAGCAGGTCATTGCCTCAGTAAATGCCATCTAGAAATCTAGGAAATTGATAGGGAAAACATTTTCAAGATGCTTTCATTCCTGGGCTCTTACAGTTAATTAATGGGATATTCAGCACTCACTGTAACCATTCATTGGCTTTTTTCACTCATGTGAAGTCATCACGGCTGTGCTTGCACCTGTTAAAACCTAATAGAGATTGGAAACCTCTTAAACTGCTCTACTGTACTTGTCTCTCTGAATGCATCAAATTGCGGAAAACTGTCGTCACCAAACAGGATAAAGGCCTTCTCTGTCTTGACACAGTCATTTTCTCAAACCATAAAGAATGATAAGTAGACATATTTTTTTCCATTGGACTCGAGAGCCAGACATTAAAGCATAAACCATTTCTTTTAGGAACCATGTGCAGAAAACAGTGCCTGTTTGTTCAGTTGTTCCATTGTCAAGGCCCCTGACTATTAGAGTAATTTTGCTGTGCCCCAAAGCTGGTTGCTGGCTAAAAAATGTGAGCATTCTCAAACACTGACAAACCCGGAAGCATGCAATTAGTCACTACTTTTGATTATGGAGTAGTCCCCAAGAGGCACATCCACTGTCATATGTTCATTTCTCCCACCTCTTCATTACTTAGCACTACATTACTGCTGCCCCAATTAATGCTGGACAGTGGGTCCACATCATTTAAATGATGTGAGCTTCTTGAAGATGAAGAATGGTCCACATGTGTATCATCGCCCTTTTAATCTTGTTTGATTACCTCAAAGCTCAGCCATTTTCAGCCTCTAACAAAGGCCCTTGTGTTTGAAATGAGTTGTTCTGCTTCTACAGAGCATCCCACATGAGTGTGTTCAAACTCATATGCTGTATTTTTTTTGTGCATACTGCAAGTCTGTGAGCTTCCATATGGAGCATGTTGTTTAGAGGAGCTACACATCTCCTTTCTCGCCCACAGCTGGATACCAAACTTCAGTGCTTTTATGGCACTGACTGAATTGTTTCAATAGTATTAAATATTGAAAGTGCCTTGTCATTCGGTACCAAATTTCAATACCTAACGAGTAAATCTCATCAATGTCAGTGAGCCAGTACGCTCTGTGTTCATTTGCAAGAAGAACAAAGAATAACTAGATTTGAATAAATGTTTTCAAACATCATGGTCTACTTTTACAAAGGAAACACAAGAGAAACAGTGGTGACTAAGTGGTTGGTTTTGCATATGTGTTATGGTAGCCCCCCTCACCAGGAGGATGAGGGAGGACTGAGGTTGGACTCAAGTGTGCAGACCCAGGTGCTAGGGGGAAAAACATGACGGTAGCAGGTAAAGAAAGAGAACACAAAGTATCAAAAGAACATAACATGGGAAAGTACGGTACTTGGATATGTATGATATGTAGTGTAGTGTAAATGAGCGTAGCTCGTAGGTAGTGTGGTAGAGTCAAGCCAAAACGCAGTGTCTGTCAGCGTAGCATTCTACCAACATGTACAGTCCGCGTTACTATGTTAATGTTCCGGCCAAGACGGAGCGTCTGCCAGAGGTTTATATAAGGAGGCGAAGGTAATCATCGGGATGCACCCCAGCTGTGTGCATCGACAAACCAGTCGCTAATTACTGGAATGCAACACAGCTGAGGTGCAGAGCCCACATGATAGAGAGAGCAGAGGAGAAAAGACGGAGGAGAGGCAGCGGCCGCCGAGCGGCCCTGACAATATGTGCGTCTTGGTGTGTTTGCCCATCTCCTTTATCTGTAGCACACAGCCAATTGAGATGTGTCTGGGAGACAGTGCCGGATGGGCCTCAAGTTGCACTCAAACAATATCTAGCGGTATAGGGGGTTCCAGTTTAAGTCACCTGCACTGCACTTCTCACAGTAATGTGAAATTTAGTAAACAACCATGTACAAATTGGCTGAAACTCTAAATGTTACCTGTTAAAATCCCAGTCATAGTGCCATCCTCAGTAATACTGGATGAGTGGGAATCCAGTCTGTGATGGAGGCTGTGTAATGTTGAGCAGACCTGCATTATGAAAGGGTGATAGCTGTGGATTGAAATAAATTTAACGTTGCTGTAAGAGGAGCTGTGGCAGTGACTTAAACTGGAACCCCCATGTAACATCGGATATTGTTTGAATGTAGCTTTAGCTTATAGCTATAGAGTGTCCTGTCCAGGACTGTCTGCTGTCTCCTCACTGTGTAGGGGCATGTGCCTCTCAGAAACAGTGGGGACATGACTGTGTGCACTACATCTTAATGCAAATGGGTAAACACATGACCCACTTATGCAAAACCAACCGCTTAGTCACCACTGCTAAAGTCTGGCTTCTTGAAAAAGTAGACCATGATGTTTGACAACACTTGTACAAATTTTGTCTTAATTTGTTTGCAGCATCTTGGTTTCCCTGTTTTGGTGCTCCAAGAAACAGTTTGCTCAATACTGCCACCTATGGTAGGGATCTCATTATCTTGCAAAGCCTGTATACTGTATATTGCTGGACCAGATGAAGTGGTTATCCCTTCCAACCATTTACTGATATTATGTTAACTGACAATTTCAATTTTGTGGCAAATAGGTTCATTTTTTATGCTGTAAAATGGCTTTTAGTAGAAAAATGCTAACTTAAAACTAATGAGTTGAAACACATTGTGGTGAATTGTTTTATTTTGTATGATTTGAGTGAGTAAAAAATGAGCTGATAAATGATGATTTGTACTGTAATGTGTAATTTATGCTTTCTAGTTAAAATTCATTTTATAAAATTTGTATAAAAAATTGAACCGGCATCCAAGTCAGGGTATCTGCATTGGTGCAAATTTTTTTTTAACAATACCCAGGGATGTCTGGGAAACACCAGTATAATCAACAGCAAAGTGCCTGTCTGTAACTTTAGTCCCAAGCAAACTAAAATCTTAAACATAGGCTGCTACCATACAGTTACAGTTTGCTATACTATTCTTCTTAATGCTTTGTGCTTTGCCTGATTTTTATTTTTCCAATTAAATATGCAT